TCCATGGGAGGAGACTGCCCATCATTCTTCCATGGAGGAGCTGGTAAATTTGAACCTCTAGAGAGATTTAGTCCATGGATTAGCAGCACAACTCCTTTGGACTATGTCACCAGTATAAAATGTTTCCTTGATTACTATTCTACAAAGGAGCTCTGGTGGCCTACTGGTAAGGAGCTGTTTTGCTAGCATAAAGGCAGACAGTTCTAATCCATCTACTTTCCACAGGAGAAAGATAGAAGGCAATCTCCTACTATGCAATTTACTATATCTGAAAAACTGCGGGAGGGTAAACCACGAGTCAATTCTGACTCGGTAGTACTAAACAATAACTCTACAAGGTGAGACTCTAGACCATACAAATGATTACACTCAGAGATACCAATCACCAACACGTTGGCTGTTCAGCTCCACCCAGAGCATCCTCAGGAGACAAATCTGGCATCACCTTTCCAAGTTTTTCACTCTGAAAACCACTTGGAGCACAGTTCTACTCTGTACAAATCAGTCAGAAACCACTCAACAGCAACTAGCTTGATATTTTGGGTTTGGTTTACTCTCCAAAAAGAATTAGGAATGTAGAGGTATCCTCCAGATGTGGTCTGAAACAGCGCAAGCTGTGGGTCTTTGGACTGTTTGTAACAGAGCAGAACAGGATGCCATGTGCTGTGAAGATGTAACTGTAGGCTGCAACGTGCTGGAGAGAGAACACTGTGAACTGCACGGAGCACAGAGCATGTGCAGCACGTAATTGGTGGGTGGAGTCCTACCAGGAATGGGGTCACTAGGCTGTAAAAACAAAATTTTAAAAAAAACCACGAACTTTTCTTCATCCTCTATATTTTTGTAGCAATTCATCCTTGAACGAACTCTCATTGCCAAAATACGTAGCGTCCTCTACACTCACGATCATCCCATTTTAATCAACCATTTACTCCCAATACAAATCTTCTCACAACTTCACAAAAATTATATTTGACGCACTTACCACAATAGCTCTTTCACAGCTAAAGACTTCTGTGTTTGACAGTGTTTGTCAATCTTGAACATTGTATGGAATTCCAAAAGAACAAACAAGTCTATCTTGAGAGAAGTGTAACGAGGGTGCTCTTTGGAGGCAACGATGGTGAAATTTTATTTCACAAATGTTGGGCATATTTTTAGGAAGGGCAAGTTTTTTTTAAAAAAATACATCATTCTGGGAAAGGTGGATGGCCAACGCAAGAGAGGAAAAACCTTGATAAAATGGATTGGCACTGTGGGTGCAGCAGTGGGATTAAGCACGGCAGAGCATGAGCATGTTGCCTGATAGGACAAGGTTCAGATCTGTTGTTCATCAGGTTGTTATGAGTTGTAGTTGATGGCACACAGCAACAACAACCTCTTAAAAACTTCTCTTCCTTTGACTTCCAACTGATTCCCCCAAACCATCCCTCATTTAATCTTCTTTTTCTCTCTATATTTCTTAACTGTTGAGGTTTCTAGGATTTTTAACTTCCTCTCTGGATAATTTCATTCACTACAATGTCTTCATCATGTTGGAAATATAGAGGGTCAAAGGAAAGGAAGATCCTTAACAAGATGGAATGACCCTGGCCTGCAGCAGTCAGCTTTCACACAGCTGAGATTGTGAGGCTGACCTTGCATTGGACACCATTTCAATCTTCTGTCCACAGAGTTGCTATGAGTCAGAGTCAACTCAATGGCATCTAACAATTGCAACAAGTGTAGCTTCAAATGATGTATGTATGCACACTGACAAATTTTCAAGCTATATATACACAGCCCATTTGTCTATTGAGATCCAAACCCTCATGTTTAATGCCAATGAGGTGCCTGAGGGTGCAAATAGTTCACACTCACTAAAACCCTAGGCACTATGAAGCCAGAAGCACACAGTTTTAAAATCCATCATCTGTTCCATGGGAGAAAGATGGGCAAACTTTTCTCATGTGATTTACAGCCTCTGAAAACCCGTGAGAAGGTCGGCTCTGAGTCAGTTCTTACTCAATAGCTATAAGCAGCAGCAGCAACATATCAACCTATAAGGGGCACTCTGGTGGCCTAGTGAGTAAGGAGTTATGTTGCCAACCCAAAGGTGGGCAATTCGAATCCACCAGCTGCTCCAAGAAAGTTGTTCAATCTCTTCCCATATGATCTGTTGTTATTATGTGCCACCAAATTGCCTGCGACTCATAGTGACCCTACGTACAACAGCCATAAATCCTGCTCTATTCTGTGCCAATCTTATTGTCTCTGACACATTTGCAGCCATTACCACAGATTACTGAATCAATCCACCTCATTTACCATCTTTGAAAATTCACTGGAAGTTCAGCTATGAGTTGATTCCAACTCAGCAGCAATAGGTAATAATACTACTAACCTATAGGTTGGTGGTTCAAATTCACCTAGCTGTGCCATAAAAAAAAGGCCTGCCTATTTACTTCCTTAAAAGATTAAAGATTCCTTAAAGATTAGAAAGTCCTACTCAGTTAAGAAAACCCTATTCAGCAGTTTTACTACACAGAAATCATAACTCAATTGCAACAAGTTTGTTTCTTGTTTTTGTTTTTTCTCACATATCTTCATTCATAGTCCACAGGCATCTTGAAGTAATTTTCTCTCAAATATCCTTTGCCAATCTTGAGTAAATCAGCCTGATTTCCAAAAGCCAACTTGCCAGAAGACAGCCAGAACCTGTGCACATGGTGGAGCAGAATTGCCTGGGAACTAGCATCCTGCATTGGACAGCTTTTAACGGATGAATGATAGATTCGAGTTATAAACATACCCCAGCTTTCTCTTCCCTTGGCCAAAGTAATTGAAAACAACTGAAACATTTTTTTCAGTTGTGAAACATTGTGTGGTAGCAGACTGGATATCACAAACTTCACTGGCTGCCCTCACTTCCCTGCATAATGTTCTCCTCACTTAACATTCTTTATTCCTCCCAATTAACTACTATCACCTGATATTTTTTACCTAGGCCCTGTTCTTAGAGTAGCCCAAAGAGACACATTGTTTTAACTCAGATGGTTTTTCAGGATCAGTTCTTATGTCAATTTGCCCTGTATCAGTAGGTGGCATCACCTTACCTAGTTATGAAGCCAGAGAATCAAGTCACCCTGGGAGCTTCTGAAAAGCCCCTGGAGGGTTGGCGAGGAGTCTGTTCCCATTCAATGCAATGAGAGTTGAGGACACTCTCTTTTAAAAAAAAATAAATTAGATTATTTACAAAATTCTAATACATTGTTTTCCAGACAAGATACTTCCAATTTCCCCCACCTCCCCCACCCATCAAATTGTACAACCTCATGATTTATCGTGGCCCCCTCCTGTCCCCCCACCCCAAGATCTCTTGAATCAATGTCTCCTTTCATCCCTTCAGCACCAACTTAGTTAAAGTCCAAATCGCCCCACTGGTCTCTTATCTGATCTTCCCAAGCCTAGTCTTGCCTCATTCCACTCCTCCGCCATACTTCCCTCAGATTATTTCTAAAATGCCAATGGCTTCATTTATTTTCTCCAATTAAAATCTTCCAGAATATTCCTATTGCATCAGGATAACATCCAACCATGCTATTTAAGAGTCTATACACACCTCAGATATTGGCCTGAGTGCATACTACGCCTAAACTGTCCTCCTGCTTTAGCATTTCTGTTTACTGCTCTCTCCACTCAGCACTCACCTCAAATGCCAGTTCTCCTAGTTAGATGTCTCCACTCACCCCATGCTGGTTTCATAGCCTTTTCTCTCTGGTTCCCCAGTTTTGTGTAGTCTCTCTAACTTTGTCAGCCTCCCCATCATTCTAGGGACGTTTTGATAGTAAAAAAAATCACACCTCTGTTATAAATAACTGACACTAGAACCACTTCAGTGGCAATGTGTTACACTAAGTCCTACATTAAATTCTGTTATGTTCTTTCTCTTGGACACACAGTACTGTTGTAGGCATGCATGAACTCTTTCTTACTTTGGTCCTCCGGCGTGTCCTGAGTATTTCAACCTTGAGGGATGGCTGCAGCATTTCACTTCTTTTGAAGAACTCATGGGCACAGTCTCCAGGTTCCCCATCATATCCATGACTGAGGTACAGGGTTAACACAGTAATGTTTCTTATACTTGAACTAAGTTTAAAATAAAACCAAGCCAATTCATATTAATCCTATGGGATACATGGGGTTACTTGTGGAAGTAGGTTGCCAGGCTTTTCTTCTGAGGCCCTTGGATGGAACCGAATTAACAATGTTTCCATTAACAGCTACGTACATAATTTGCACCACCCAGGGCTCAAGGATTTAAGTATGCCTTCTGAATATTAAACACATTAATCACAAAATTAATAATATTCTATAGAAGTAACCTGAAAGACACAAGATGTCTCCGAGGTTTACAAGAAAATAAGCAGAACCCGAAAATCAAGCCACTTTCCCCCAGATTTAGATTCCTTTCACTTTTTGCCATTCATAGTGGCCCTATGAACAACGGATCTGAACTCTGTCCTACAATTGATTCTATTTTTTTTTTTAAGAGGACAGAATGTATGAGGTCATTTTATAGAAAACAACATTCAGCTGGCAGCTTCTAGAAGGCACTTTCTCTGAGGACTGTGAGAAATGCAGAGAAAACTCACCTGAGCAAGGAAACCAGTCAGAACTGCCCAACTAGGAGCTGGTTCCCCACCCACTGTCTTCATGCACCACACCCCACAGCCCCTCCACCTCTTGTTTTCAGGGTAGGAGCTAAATCCAGTTACAACCAGACAGAGGAGTATGCTCACATGACTTGTAGACTTGTAGGGGAAATGACACGAGAAGTTAGTTGTCAGAATTTCACTCTGCATTGCAACAGCTCATTTCACAGCCACCTATGAGATTGTGCAATCCTCCAGGCCTATATATATTGTGACACTCCAGTCAGTCTTTGAAATCTTCCGCAGCTCAGCCTCCCAGGAAGCCTCTCCTGCTCCTTCGATCCCAGGGTGCAGCTGCCAGCCACCATGAACACTCCCTATTTACTTCTGATGACTGTCTGCTTGCTTTTCTGCCTGAACACAGCCACAGGTAAGCTTTGAGACCTTCTGGAGCACCTTCCGTACCTGTGCCAGGAAGTCTGGAGCAATGTGAACTGGAGGACACTTGACCCTGTGTCCTAAGGGATGGAGTAGCAGTGCTGTCCCTGCCTCTAACCCAAGTTTAGAGGATCGCTGTTGGCTGAAGGCAGTAGACAAGCTTGCTGAGCCCTTAGGGGTCTCCATGCTGTCCCCTTACGCAACAGAAAGAAGCCTACCAGCAAAATACCTTCAGGTACTCCCATGATACCTGAAAGCGGCACACAACTGCAGGAAAAATGGGTGTGTTTTATGTGACTTCAGTCAAAGGCAGCTCCCAGCATCTCCTGCCCTCTATGGGTCTTAGCTTCTAGAGCTTAACCTGTCTGTACTGTGGCTCCTTACGCTGAGATGCCAGCTCTTCTTTACAGAGGGTGTAGAAAGGTCACGGGTTGCCAGTCCCCAAGTTCACCCTTGGGCACTGGGAGGGACCTCCCTGGCTGCCCTGCTGGTGGCAAGGTGCTGCCTGCCCCTCCCACAGGCCAGCTCATCTAGGGTTTGACTCACCTCATGTGGAGCAGTCAAGCATTCACAGACAAAGTTGACTTTCTTGAGAAATTAGATCACATTCTCTATGATAGCAAACATCCCTGGTCAGGTGAAGGGAGGTTTATGTTCGATCAGATGAGACTCGCCACTCTAGGGTAAAGAATTCATATCTCTGACTCTGGTGAAGGTAGTATACTTACTGCAGGAAGAATCTAGAACAAATATTTATCTCAGTTATGTCACTAAGTCAAGGCACGCTTTGAGCAAGGCACATGGTTCCCTCATTTGCAAAGCAGGTGGCCTGTGGCAGAGGATGACTTTGAAAGTACTTAAAGAGCTCAAATTCTCTGAAAGGTCCTCACTGTGTTTCCTCAGGTCATCACTTTATCACACAGATATGAGTCATTTATTCCAATTATGCTTCAGTTTCCCCATCTGAGGACTAGGTACAAAAGTATTCTAATGCAGACTTATTGGTTTGTATGTTTTTGTTGCTTAGTTTATTTTAATATTACCAGTCATGACTCGTTATAGGGGTAAAAAAAATGACTAAGTGACTGCAACTAAGGTTTTGGAGTGGGGGCATGCTTCATTAGGATAAAAAAAAAGGCAATACTTCTTTTATGGCCATGCAGTTTTATTATAGTCTTAATTCTGATAGTGTACTGAGTAATAATGAAAAAATATCTTTCATGTAGCTACTGGGTTCAAATTTTAGAAAGCTTGAAAGCCACTATTTTAATTCCAAGAGTATTTATTCATTTATTAACTTTAAATATGATTGTGAGCACCTCACTCAGAGCACAGAAAATGAAAATTTTTCTTAGGGTCTAAAGCTGAACATTCTAAAGTTAACAGGAAAAGCTAAGCTTTCTGATCATTCATTATAAAAATAAGAGCCAGTATTCATGCACACGACATAGGACCTGATAACATTTCATTTTGTGGTATGTGAGTTCATTTTGAGTTGGAGCCAAGTCAATGATAATCAATAGCAACAATATTCATTGAGCACATAGGCAGCCCCTAAAATCTATCTGGATAAACCTACCAGTAAATGATTTCCCAGCACCCAAGGATACTCCAGGAAGCCATTTCCAATAGAGCTGACCCAAATCAAGAAGAGTAGGACCTCTGCCTCCACACCAAAGGCAGTGAGCACCTCAGATCCATATTGGTCACTGATTGCTTTTAAGAGGCCACAACTGAGCAGAGATGGTCACCTTTGCAAAAAGGATGAAAGAAAAAAAGGTAATACTTAGTAAAAATACTTTCCCACTTAAGTTTTATGTTCTGGTCAGATCATCACTGTCTAGAAAAAGTCAGCAGTATTGAGTCTTCCAAGAGTTTTCCTCATTAAAGAACGCAGTTTCACCTGCCTCTCTTTCCTGGCTCACGCAGCAACCACTCTTTAGACTCTAGTTTTAAGAGGTTTCCTTTGTTATTGATGTTGTTGTAGCTGTGCAGCTGTTACTGCCTTGTTTATTCTCACTGTCCACACAGGTGCACTGATCAGACTGAGAATGATTACCTGCTCAGAGTTTAGTGCAAGGTAGAAGCTAGAAGCTGCTCCTCTAGGGTGGTTTTGGGGGCCCAGCACCAGACTTGACTCAATCCAGAGCTTCATGTGGGTCAGTGAACTTCTATTTCTAGAAGAGTTAACAGAGCTCACCCAGTCCAATCTTGTCATTTCACATGTGGGGAACATGAAACTTGTACCAAATGGAAATTGTGGCATTGCAGTGCCCTGAAATCAACAAGTTGGACATTATGTTTTAGAAGTTTTCTTCTCTATCAGTAAAAATATGGCAGACTAATTTTCTCTCACTTAATTAGTCTTCCTGTGAGCCCAGAATGATGTCAAATGGCAACGCAATGCAAGTTTGATTTCTGAAAACGGAGCCCTTCCCTTTGGCAATCAAGAGGGTTTGAAGCTGTTCATTCATTTAGCAAATTCTTAGTTTACAGCAATAATATATAGGCATTTATCTGAAGACTGGACATGTGCAAGAAAAAAACCCTCAAATTTGTGGTATTTTTTTAAAAAAAAACAACTTCAGAACATTTAATTAAGCTCATGAGAAATCTACACCTATATCATGAAGCTATTGTCCAACTGGAACAAGGAAACACTATGTGGTTTAAAATTGTCCAAATGAAACAAGGAAACACTATGTGGTTTAAAATCAGGAAGGATATGTGTCATGGTTGTATCCTTTCTCCATACCTATTCAATCTGTATGGTGAGCAAACAATTTGGGTGTTTGTTTTGTTTTTCTTTTTAAGCAGTTCTATTCCTCATCTGTTCCAATGCAGTATACATTATCTATCCTCTCTTTTCTTAGTTTCCCCCAAATTTGTGGTCTTATGACTTCATTATCTTAATGCAGAACATGACATGGAACAATTGATTAGATAATTAATTACTTTATTACAACGGTCTCAAGAAATGGCATTAAGCACAGAGTATAAAAGAACCCAGGGCAACAGGAATCAGCCTGGTCTTGAGGAGTCAGGGAAGGAGAAAATGGCAGTAGTTACGGTGCACTGCATGTTTTAAAAGAAAAATTTAATTATCTCATAACCTTTAAAAACCATGTGGTATCGTGTAAGAGGGAGATGATAGACTAGAGGATACTGTCATCCCAAAGGCACATGGTGCTATCCAACAGCTGCTCCATAGAAGAAAAACGCATTATCTCCTCTGTGAGATTTACAGCCTCTGAAAACCTATGGGAGCACCAACTATGAATCTATTCTGACTCTGTGGCAATGAGTTGTTGTATCACATAAAATTCAGATTCTTAGGTCCTCTTGAGAGGAAATAAAAAAAAATAAATTAAAAATCTAGCAACATACCTACCTGGCAAAAATGGCTTGCAACTAGGTAATTCTTTTTTTTTTCCCTTCAGATAAAGCACTCACTCCCCAAGTCATCACAGTCACCCTACTTCACATATTTCTCTCATATGCCTAGCTGCCATGAACATCAAAATTTGAAGCTCTAAATGAAAGGTGGGGAGAGGCGCGGAGAACAAGGACAAACTAGACAGAAAGGAGAGCATATAAGGAACCCTTGAGATAAAGAGGAATAAAAATTGTCGTTATCACTTAATTTAAGCCTCACAATACTTCTCTGAGGAAAAGCAAGTTGTTACTTTCATTCTGTAGATTGTATTTCTAAAAACACAGGACTGGTAGCAGGCAGAGTCAGAACTGAAATACAAACTCTACGCCGCTTCTCATGGCACAGGACATGCTTGAGCTGCCTGAAGGAGGCCGGAGAGGAGAGGAATCTGGCACCTTCTGCCTACGTGCCGCGGTCTTCTAGGGACAGCTCAAGGGAGGCTTTACAGGGCATACACAAGCAGCTGCGCCTGAGGGAACCTCTACAGTCCTTTAAACTATGAGAGCTGCATAACCAGAAGTGGTTTTATCCAAGATCAGTTTGGCTATAGTATTGAGACTAGCTGGAAAAGAGCAAGGTGGCAATTTAGGACTTTATTTCATTAGCAAATCCATTCTATTCTACGTGTATCTTTGCCCCAGGTCATCCGCACTCCTTACCAAAAGCTCCACCCATTGCCACTGAATCAGAACCGGCTTATAACTGACCTTCCAGCAGGTTTTCAGAGTTTGCTCATCACTGTCCTGAGGAGCAGCTGGTAGATCTGAATCGACTGCCCGCCTTTGGGTTGCCGTCACTACTCCTTACCATTGGACCTCCAGAGCTCCCTCATCAGGACTCCAGTGGAACAAAATTAGCCAAGCTCATTAATGCACACACTGGTGATTTCTCAACATCCTTTCCTTTCGCCCCAGGGCCCTGCAGATGTGGTTAGCAGACTGGTCCGGTTTGGGGGTTTTTTCCCTTTAAAATAAGTCTTTTGGCAAAATGACTTCCAGCTCTACTTGGTCCTCCCTTGCACATTCCTGGAGTGTTTGACTCTGTAATCCCCACCCCAACCTTCTTGGCCTAATTCCTTCAAATTATCTGACCTCTGGCAACAGCTTCATGGAAAATGCCTGCTATGATCATGGTCTCTGAATTCATCCGGAAAAAAACACACATTGCCTCAGATACACAGCCCCTGCAGCCTTAAAATCAGGCCTTAAAGAGGAACTAGCCCAGTGGAAAATTGACAGGAAGACACTGTTGTTAACCCAGTTCCCACCTCTGACTGCTAGGATAATTTTATCTGACGTCGTAGGTGTAGGACTCTTTCCAAACTGTTGCAAAAAAATCTAGATTGCATTCCTTGACTCCCCCATATTTGTACCTCACACAATTCAAATTGATTAGTCACATAAACCTTGTTGCTGACCCTCTATCCAAGCTTGTCTTTTTACTGCAGATTCTTCCATTCCATCCTGGGTGGAGCAGAGAATTATGGATCCTGACAAGGTCCTCCCTCAAAACCCTCCTCATTCAGACAAATCATTTCTCCTGCTTATTTGTTGTTA